GCGTACAGGGAGGGATCCAGTTCAGTTTGATTATTTTGGGTGAAGCCTGTTCGGGAGAGAAGCCAAGTCCTTGTGCCCTGCTTCAAAACTGACATATATCTAAACGTTCGACGCATGAATCATCAAATTAAATCTTGTGAATTATGAGTCACGTTAAATGAGAGGAGGGAAGCTCTCAGGATTATTTGCAGTAATTTTCTTTCTGTGCTTTTCATTGGCGAAGTAGGACATCAGTTATTCGTGTTTGCTCCTTATCTTTCTATACAAAGACTCACACACACACACTCAAGTCCTTAATGTTGCCGCGCTGTTTACCGATTTCCCAGAGCAGGGCATGTGTGCCCCGGCTGCTCCTGCCCTTGACAAACAGGGTGAACCCTCTGCAAATCTGGTGCCGTTGTGCACTACAGTCTTCACACTGAGAATCACTGATGCTGCAGACTAATGCGTGCTGATTTATGATCTGTGTGGTGTGCGTGCATGTCAAGATAAGACGCAGTTAATGTTTATTAGTAACTTATCAATAGCCAGTGGTTTATGCTTTAAAAATTGAAGTGATCCATGTATCGTGTTACAACGAGCTAAACTTTTTAACCTTTAAAAAAAAGAGAGTACAGCCTTAGTATAAAGAAAAGATCCTCAGGGGGGTTTCCTCCTTCCTTTTCTGCTAATGTTTGCAAGCAGCTCCGCTTTGCAAATTTTAGCAGGCAGTTTGACCCTGATTGACAATTTGATTTGATTATTTTAAGCCCTTGTGTACAAATCGAGAAGTAGCATGCCTGTGTAGTCATGTGCACAAATCAAGTTGCAGAATTAACTAATAGCAATTTGTTTCTCATGCAGGTGAGACAAAGACCACAGTGGCTCCCTACGTCCTGGGTGGAGTCAGTGACGGTCAGTGGCACTCAGTCCAGCTCCATTACTACAACAAGGTAAGAAATGCAAGCAGTCAGGTCGCTTCCGTGTTTTCTTCCCTCCTCTTCCAGAAAACTTTTCCCATTCTCACCACTGAAACAAAGGATCCTGGCTCAGAGTTGGGAGAGAAGAGTTTGTGCTTGAATTTGATTTTTTTTTCCTGTTTTGGTGTGCGATCCATAATACTGGGGTGATAGTGTGTTTAGCCAGGGTTGAGGGTTAGTGAGTTCAGGAATTGTGTGGTGGGAGTGAAGAGGATTTCTTTGATGTTGACCGGTGATTTGTGAGATTATCTAAAAGTGTAGTTAGGTCGTTCCCCTGTGTTTCAGTCCTAAACTCTGAATTATAGCCTGGCTTCAAGTGTTAAAGTTCACTAAAGTGAATGTAGCATGTCTGTCTTAGTTAAGCGTGAATGACCTCCATATGCAGCCCAAGCATATTTCCATAATGCCACAGTCTAGAGGTATTCCTAATCACCAACATCCGTGGGAATTATCAGTTTGTTTCACTCACAGCTCAAAGTGATTTCCTAAAATGTTCCCACGATGGTCCTGTTTTCTAAATGAGAAAAAAACCCGACTTTGATTATTTCGCAGTGTAGCTTGAGTATCCTCTTCAGCTGCAATATTATATTAAAAGGGTTTACGTTGCAGTCAGTTCCTGGTGTTACTTGACAAACTTCCACCCTGCAGGCGTTGTTCTTATAATATTAAGCCAGACGAGAAATAAGAGAACGCTCTGTTTCTGAGGATGAACAAGCTTTTGTGTCGTGTTTGGTTGCTGTAAAATTGAACGTTTGATAACTGCATTTAACGTTTGCTGTCAAAACAGAGTACTCGTCAACCCAGTGTATGAAAGTTGAAACAGCATTAAATGCACCATCTTCTAGGGGTGGGGGAAAAAATCGATACTGTGTAGCATCGTGATATTTTGTTTGCTAATAATGTAT